AAAGAGAAAGGAAAATTTGAAATCGCATTATATGACCCCTTTAATGAGCTGAGCTTTAACTTTTTATTTGAACTTTTTTGGTTGAAATTATGAAGTGTTGCAGCATAGATTTTTCATAGCTAACTTGACATTACAAGCTAACCTCGTGCTGTGGATCGAGTAAAACACATACAGAAATAAAAGTCCCTCCACCGTTAAAGACATGGTTATAGCCTTGGAAAGGATCTGAACTCAGAACACCCCAAGCTCAACTGCAGCTCTGACTGCTTGTCAGTTTTATTGGTGTTCTCACTCTGTTTAGCGCTATAGAACATACAGTATGTATAAAGGTTAATGCAGTGCTGTAGGTCAGGCAGTGCTTTTACAAACTTTATATTGGCCAGCGGCCAAGTCTATTCTATAATAGGAGCAGGTCTTAAAATATCAAAGTTGTCATTAAGCATGTCACAGTAGTGTGCAGGGAACATTGATGTAACCTTGACTGCAAACACTTACAAACTCACAGTGAGCATTTAAAGGACTGAACTAAACAGTATAAAAGAAAAACACATTTGGCTTGAACATTTCTGAGAAATGCAAGTAAAACATTTAATTTAAGTTCAGTAATAGGATATATTCATGTATTTATATGGCTCGAAGGGTTGGGTATTACTGCAAGAACAAGCTGAAGTCATAGGCGAGAAATCATAGGCGCGGGAAGTGGGGGTGCCGAGGGTGCTGCAGCACCCCCTGTTTTTTCTGTGGGCAACTGTTTAACTGTTGGGAATAAAACAAAAATTGGAGTGTCTATTTACACTAAGTGCAAATATCCCGCCTTGTTGGCAGAGGCTATTTACAGTTACTCCACCCACCAACGTATGATTGGGCTAGTCAACATTTCAAAAGACGGTTATCAATCGTCAGATTCAGTGGTGTAGATGGTAATGCGTGTGTCACACTCCTTTTGATGCGATCGACCCGGGTTCAAATCTGCCTTTTGGCAAACTTTATTTCTCCCTTTTCAAATTTCAAATCACACCAGAAAAGCATTTCTTTTTAATAAAAATGAAGGAAATAATCAAAAAGTTGAAAATAAAGTATCGGGCAGGGTTAGGGTAGTTGTAGAGGGCTTTTGTCCCAATGGACCCTTTTCCCAAGACTGTGCTGACGCGTTTAACGGTCATCAGCATCATAAATACTCGAAAGTTTTTCATATTTGTATTTTAAAAAAAATGTATCTACGTTTATAACACTATTCTTTGTATTATATCACTTTTGCATCAAATTACAAAAAAACAGTTAACGCTAATGCGAGGGTGCTTCTAATGCAGCGTCTATGGGAGGGACGGTAAATTTGACTTCGTTCTCTCTTCTGGCAGCCGTTATCAGTCTCTCTTAAATTTTTTTTCCTTTTATTGAAAGTCATGAAAACACTATCATGGAGTTTTTCTTTTGCTATTTGAGCAAATGGGAATGCAAAAAATATATTTGTGGTCCTCTCCCATTCACTGCTCTTCAAGTTTACCCAACTATGACGACTTCCGCTGCTGCTGAGAAACCCGGAAATGTGAAAAGTGTCCATAAGGTGGTATCCATTTAATAATTTGAAGTAAAATTAAAATTGACACTCAATAAGTTATTATCGCATACTGTTTTATAATGTATTACAATGCTGAGGTGCAGATAATTGCCACTATTTGCAATAAGTAATTAGCAGTATATCCTGCTATTTTAACATAGTATAAATATAATCTATAGCTATTTGCACTTAGTGTAAATAGCATATCACTAAAAAATACTGCTATTTTCACTTAGTGTAAATAGCCTCTATCACTAAGAAAATACCCCCCTCCCCCCTCCCGCGTACAGCACCCCCAACCTACAACATCTTCCCACGTCCCTGTGAGAAATGTTGCATTTGCAAATGTTGCAAATGTTGCATAATAAGAGATAGATCTTGATATCGTGGAAATCTAGGCTAATATGAGCACAATTCACATTGTTGAGGTCCCTTCTGAAAATCAACATAGGCTCATTGGAAAAAACATTTTTGCAAAATTAGGTACATTTCCAAAAATGTACCTACAGTATACTAATAAAATCCTAGTGATAGTTTCAGAAGTACAATTTACTTGCTCTGTGGACTTTTAAAAAAATAATAAAAACAGGAATTGCTACTTATAATTGCTAGCTGGTAACAGGTGTCAGAGATGGGGCGAAGGGGCGAAAGGGCATAATCCCCACCCCCGCCACCCCCCAGTTCAGTTCTGTGAGTGTGACAGCAGATGAAAAATGACAGCATATTCTGATGTTCTCTAAGGAATTCCCTGACATGAAGAGCAAGGCAGGGATGAGGAGCATTCGGCTGATCTTTAGGGAGTCAGTGACGGCAGCAGTCTGATTTATTGTGTTAAAAGCCGAGGCGGCAGACCAGAACGCTGCATGTTCAATGACTCTGGAGGTTGTTAATGGTACGCTGTGTTCTCATCCGCACACCGGGCCACCGACTGAGTCACTGCTGATGGACCGAGAGTGCTGTGGCATCAAATGACTGAAGCAGACTGAGAATGGCCATCATGTTGATAGAACAACGGCAATGGGCAAGCTGCCTTCATTCATAAGGATTTGCATCCCACAAGGGCAGATGGGAGTTTAGAGGTCTTCTTGGAAAACACTCTAATAGCTTGAGGAGCAGTGTGTGTGTACCTGATTCAGCACATGTTTTATGTTGGTATGTCACAATTCCTCAAGGATAAAAACATGTGAAATGCACTCCTTTTTATTATTTATTTAAACAAGACCTATCTACCTGTTTGTCTTGGGTAATTTTT